GGGTACAATTCTTAGCCCCAACAGTTTTAAACCCCGCCACCCTGCTACCTAACCCTGACCTAGATAAACCTCTGCACAACTGCTCAGAGATACTCGCAGAGGTAAATACGGTCAGAAAGGACTTGTGAGACTGCCCGTTGGAGAACAGTGACCTCATCTGGTTCACAGATGGAAGCAGTTTCGTACAGGATGCACTAAGGTATGCAGGGGCTGTGGTGGTAGACAACCGGGAAGAAATTATTTGGGCCGATGCTTTACTGCCAGGAACTTCCGCTCAGAAAGCTGAACTTACCACCCTGGTGGAAGCATTGGAAAGGGCGGAGGGGAAGAGGCTAACGGTATATACTGACAGCCGGTACGCATATGCGGCTCTTCATATACATGGAGCCATCTACTGGGAGTGTGGGTTCAGAACCACAGAAGGAAGAGAAATAAAGAACCAGACAGAAATCCTCCGCTTACTGTCAGCTGTGACCCGGCTGCGAATGGTAGCGGTGGTTCCCATCTCGGGACATCAGAAGGGATACTCCCCTGAAGCAAGAGGCAACCGAGCAGTGGACCAGGCAACTAAGAGAGCTGCCCTCCAAGCAGTACAAACTTTAGTAACTAACTTACCTTGCCCGCAACTGGAACCCCTGCCCCCTACTCCCAACTACTCTGAACAAGACATACAGTGGGCTGAAAAATCACCACAGATAGAAAAAGATCAGAATGGATGGTATATGGACTTAGAGAGAAAACTGATTCTCCCAGATGAATTGGGGTGGCATCTTCTCACACACCTCCACCAAGTGACTCATTTAGGGGAATGGAAAATGTTGGAGTTACTGGAAAAAGGGCAGGTCCATATACACCATCAGAAGCAAGCGGCTCAGAGTGTGGTAGACCAGTGCCGGGCCTGTCAGGTCATGAAAATAGGGAAGAGGAAGAACACACATGCAGGTACGAGGGTAAGGGGGAGGAAGCCGGGCCATCATTGGGAAATAGATTTCACTGAAGTTAAACCAGGTAAATATAGATATAAATATCTCTAAGCGTTAGTGGATACTTTCTCGGGATGGGTGGAAGCTTACCCTACTAAAGGGGAAACAGCAGTAATAGTAGCCAAGAGAATTTTAGAAGAGATAGTACCCAGATATGGAATGCCTAGAATGTTAGGATCAGACAATGGACCAGCTTTTGTAAGTAAAATTATCCAGGGCTTAGCCTCGACTCTGGGGGTAAATTGGAAACTACATTGTGAATATAACCCTCAGAGTTCGGGGCAGGTAGAAAGAATGAACAGAACCCTAAAGGAGACCCTATCTAAATTGGCAATAGAAACTGGCGGAGACTGGGCGACCCTCCTTCCCTTTGCGCTCTACTGGGCTAGGAATACCCCATACACGCTGAATCTGACCCCATTTGAAATAATGTATGGGACACCACCTCCTATTATTTCCAACCTGGAAAAATGTCCCAATGAGTTGTCAAAAGATTTAATCTTGGGGATGAAAACTCTCCAAATAATTCAGAAGGAATTATGGCCCAAACTTTGAGCCATATATGAAGGTCCCCTTAGTGAACAGGGAATTGACCATGGAATTGAACCAGGAGACTGGGTGTGGGTGAAGAGGCACCAGCAAAAAACACTGGAACCTAGATGGAGGGGACCTTATGTTGTTGTTCTTGTGACCCCTACTGCCCTAAAGGTAGATGGCATCAGTGCCTGGATACATCACTCTCACATCAGGAAAGCTAACTCGCCGGAACAGCAGTCAGCATGAACAAACTGGAGAGCGCGTTCAGATCCTGAAAACCCGTTGAAAATCAGACTGACTTGGAACAATGAGGACTGAAACTTTCATCTTCGCCTTAAGCCTCTGCCGCCTTGGAACCAGCATGACTAATCATCAACCTTTCAAGGTTACTTGGCAAATTCGCGATGGACAAACCCATGAAACTTTGAACTCTTCTACGCTCATCACTCCCCTTAACGTGTGGTGGCCTGACTTGTTCTTTAGCCCTAAAACCTTACCGGACACAGATTTGGGTGCAAAGCACATCCATAACATCGGTTTATTCACTTGTCCAGGATATAAACGAAACGTTCGACAATGTGGGGGGCTCTCATGGTATTATTGTAAAAACTGGAGTTGTGTAACCTCTAATGATGGAAATTGGAAGTGGCAGGTAAGCAGCTTATACTTTGTAGTATTCTCTTTTGCAAGGCCTAACCTGTTATCTTGGAACCAGTGTAACAATATGTGTGACTTAGTAAAAGTTTCATTCACTGAGCAAGGGAAAAGGGAACCAACCAAGTGGAGGTCTGGGCTGACCTGGGGTCTCCAAATTTGGGAACCCCATTGGAAATATCCCTCTGGGTTAGTAACCATCTTACTAGAAGTAGAAGCCTTAGATGTTTTATCAATAGGTCCAAATAAGGTCCTGAACCGCCTGAGAAAAGGAAATCTAACTAATAAACAAATGTTAGCAAGTACTGCCACCCCAGATGTCACAGGTAACACCCCATATGTGACATCTAGTATCCAGGAAAATTCCCGGAGTAGAGATCCCCTTTAGAATATATTACTAGCCGCCTTTCAAACACTTAACCGTACTAATCCTAACCTAACTCAAGCTTGTTGGCTTTGTTACGATGTAAACCCTCCATTTTATGAAGCAATAGGCATTGATACCTCTTTCAGCTATTCTCATGACCAGAACCCAAAGAACTGCTCCTGGAAGGACTGTAAGGTGGGACTTACCATACAACATATAACAGGAAAGGGCTTATGCGTGGGGAACCCGCCCCCCCCCCAACGCTCAAGAACGTTGCGCCTCATATACTGAAATAAACTTGTCCTTAAACTGGATCATTCCCAGGGAGGGGGGTTGGTGGCTTTGCTCAAGAGCTGGACTCTTACCCTGTTTGAACTTGAAAGTATTTAATCAGTCCTCATATTATTGTGTACTAGTAACTGTTCTACCCCAAATTCTTTACCACCCAGAGGAAGAGATGTATATACACTGGGGTGGAACTAATAGAGTAAAAAGGGAACCAGTAACTGCAGCTTTTACTTTAGCCACTCTGTTTGGCTTAGCAGGGGCTGGTTTAGGAGTGGCTTCCTTAACTTTACAGAATCAAGGCATGGTTTCCCTGAGGGCAGCCACAGATGAAGACATTGAGAGAATAGAAGCCTCTATCTCCCATTTAGAGAAATATTTAACCTTGCTATCAGAGTTGCGTTACAAAACCGGCAGGGATTAAATCTTTTGTTTCTCCAACAAGGGGGATTGTGTGCGGCTCCAGGGGAAGAGTGTTGCTTTTATGCTGATCATACGGGAGTAGTTCGGGAATCTATGGCCAAGGTTCGAGAAGGACTTTCCCTAAGAAAAAAGGAGCGTGAAACTCAGGAAGGATTGTTCGAATCTTGGTTTAATAACTCCCCGTGGTTGACTACTTTGATATCTACTCTCTTAGGACCCTTCATAATCCTTATAATTATATTAACTTTTGGCCCCTGCATTATAAATAAGTTTATATCATTTGTGAAAGATCGAGTTAATACTGTACAACTCATGGTCCTTAGACAACAATATCAGTCCCTATCTCCTGTATCTCCTGTAACACATGATGAAGATTCCTCACATGAGTTACAAGAAAAAGGGGGGAAGGTGAGGCCACTTGTTTTGTGCTAATGCCCTCTAGGTAATTATTCTTTAACCAGGAGCCATTAGGGCCGGGAACTCCAGCACGTTCCCCACGCCTCAGGGCTTTACCTCACAGAGCCCTGAAACCCCCTCCCCTCCTTTTCTACCCCCTAGCAACAACCAATCATTTATCGACTTGCTTTTATGTTACTCCACCCTCTATTTTTCCTATAAAATTGTAATTGTAGTAGAGCACGGGGTCTTTTGCCCATACCGCTGCGTCGGTGTAAGTGGAGACCCTAGCTCGAGCTAGCTAATAAACTTTCCTTTTGCTTTTGCATTATCGTGTCAGTGGTAGCTTCCTCACACCAACACTCCTTTCAATACCTGAGTCCAACAGGGAAATCTACTTTTGCAGAGATACCTCCTTGGAAAACCAAGGAGGGGTTGCTATGAGTCGAGACCAACTTGACAGCAGTGACTTTTCTTTTTTTTTTTTTAGTAATTGGCACTCCTCCCAGCATGTAGCTAATAACTGTATTTGTCCAGTATCAATTTGGAGTCCCTGAGAGAACCTCTAGGTTTATCTGAGACACAGAGACTCCTAAGGAGGCAGTTAGACCCCAAACACCTGGAAGCATGGCATTGTTTAACTTTTAGAGTATTCTTTTGCTCTTGCCCCTGGCAAAGACAGAGTCACTGGTCCAGTCCTGCATTATGAGGAGAGGAAAAGCAAGATCAGTAGGAGCTAGCATTTGGATGAGTCTGTGACTCTCCTTGGGCTAAAAAGGCCAGGGAAGATGGGCTAAGATAAAGCCCACTCTTGGTTTCTGTACTTTGCTCTTTTTAAAGAGGGCAGGAGCAGCAGGTGACTGACCTGATGTGCAGGTCACATTAAAGGACTTCTGGCTTTAGGATGTGTCACTTCCACAGGGTTTGGAATGTGAGTGAATTCCCAAGATTTTTTTTTTTTACAACTTAATGAAGCAAAACCATGGAGAATAGACATTTCCAGTAAGTCTGGAGGATTAACATCCCAAGGCTCATGCCCAGGGTTGACTAGGAAGAATAGATATCTCTGCTAAGTTTGGGGCATTGAGAGTCCTCACCAGCTGATGACAATTCTGGGCACTTATGTGTGTGTGTGCATGTACTTGTCACATTTTTTAAATGTGGGTAAATATAAAAAAGTTAAAAATAGTATTAGGGGCAAGCAAGAAAGAGAAGTATGTGGAGTAACCACTCATCCATACTGCCATGCTCCACTCTGGGCTGTATTCTTTTGAATTGGCAGGAATATAATTACCCCCTCCCAAGTCTAAGCCTTAGAAAAACCCACCCTGAGGCAGTGGAGCTCTCCCTGGAGAACAAAGGACAAGTGATGTGGCCACCTGAACTGCTTTGTGTTCAGCCATTTCTTCTAAGGACAAGTCTGCCACCCCATGTGTTAGTTTTAGTTTGGCCTAATGAGTAAAACTGTATTTTCCTTTTTGTTTGCCTTTTGTGAATCTTTTTTGTTACTGGTTTGGGAAGAGGCCTAGATACCTCTGCCTTGCAGATTGGGAGGTTAAAACCTCTCCATGAAGCTGATGAGCCTCAAGGGAAAAGAGCTAAAGCTAATGAGTCTCATAAGACTCTATCTAAACAGATCAATTCTAAATCTGCAAAAATGGAGATCTGAGTAGAGTCCTGAGTCCGGGCAGCAGGCAGAGACATCTCCATCAAAGTGGCTGATTGGGAGATTGAAACCTCTCCAGTATTAAATAAAGGTAGTGTCAGTCTGATCTAGTTCCTGCATTGAGGGTAATAACAACCCAAATTCAACCAGGAAAGTCACCTTAATTAGAGTCAAAGGTCCGATTAGGGAGCACCTAAGAATAACTGTTTTTGAGGTCTTAAAAATTATTATGTTTATGTATACTGCTTTTTATCTGAAAAAGAGGCTGGGGTGGGTGTGGGGAGCATCCACCATCTCAAGTGGTCCACTGACCTTTCCTATTTTTAACTCCTAAAATGTTACAGAACAGATTTTAAAAAGAGGTCTAGACATCCAGTTCTGAGGTAAGAGGTGGAGGATTGCACACAGTGCCATCTTTGATTTGAAGTTTAGGCTGCAAGGAAGGAAAGGATCCAGGACTTGTGTTGGGAGACTTTTATTAGAATTTCTTATTACATCCAGGGAAAAAAAATGATCAGTCAAAGAAGGAAGACAATTTAAATTAAGAATTGTAGAATCAGGCCTTTAATTGAACATTACTCAAAAACCCCAAATAGTGGAATGTATTTAAAAGAACAATTTTAAAAGGAAATTGAAATAGATAACCAACCTAGCACCCCTAAAAGCTTACCATTAGATTATGTCTTACAGAATTGAGACTATTTCTATTATAAGCATTTGAAGAGAAATAAATTGTTTGCTTTTGTGATACTGCTTGGCCTCAGTACCTAAGTGAGAACCAAGATATGTAGCCTAAAAATGGCTCACTTAATTATAACACTGTATTAAAATTGAACTTATTTTGCAACAGGCATGAAAAGTGGGGTGAAGATTTTATATGCACAGATTTTTATAGCCCTCTATAAAAATAATAATCTTCAGGATAAATGCCAGGAAGGGAAGTGGTGGAAGGGAGGATTGCCTTCACCTCCACTATAACTCCTGAGCTTAATATTACAGAGAGATTTATTAAACCAGACCTAAATTTTAATCTTAGCTGGAATGATGTAATCATTATTTTAACCAACTACTGTACCCCCAATGAAAAGACTTAGATCATAACTAAGGCAAAAGGGCATGCAGACATATTTGTCCAAATTAAGCCCCAAATAAAGTGTATAAACCGAGATGAGAAGCAGTTCCAGAGACCCTCACTGGGATTATCAACACAGAATAAATCAAGAAAAAAAATGAAACATTTAATGACTGACTTAGTGAAAAGAATAAGGAAATACATTTGTAAGCCAGTTAATTATAAGGTCAGAGATGACCCAAGAGAAAGAGGAAAACCCTGCTGTTTTCCTCAGTAGCCTCACTGAATAATTTAGGAAATATACCAGTACTGACACAGAATCCCTTGAGTCAACTTCCCTGGTCTATTATATGCTGGAATCTTCAGGACCTAATTCCCAAAGGGCTTTTTCAACTGTAATCTCTTTGTCATTATCAAAATGATTTGTTGACATAGTATTTTGAAATGAGTACACATATTTCTTTTTTTAAAAATTGGCTGAAAGTTTACAGAGCACATTATTTTCCCATTCAAAAATTTATGCACATTTTGTTTCATGAAATGAGTTGTAATCCCCTCAATGTCAAAGCATTCTTCCCATTTCCTTCATGAGTTCCCCATTTTCATTTGTTCTTTTTGCTCTGTCCTGCCTTCTGAACTTTGTGTTTGGGCAAATGCTGCCATTTTGATCTTGTATGGTTGTTCTGAGGAGCACTTTCCTCATGGTGTTATTGTTCACTTTATAGGACTGTCTATTGTTTGGCTGAAGGGAAATCCCTGGGGGTGGGTTCAGTTTCAAGTTTAAGGGTGGCTAAGAGTCACAGTCTTGGGGGGTTCCACAAGTCTCTATCAGACCGGTAAGTCTGGTCTTTCTTTCTTTCTTTATTTTTTGACTTTGTATTTTGTTCTACATTTTTCTCCCACTCTGTCCAGGACCTTATTTTGTGAATTCTATCAGAGTGATCAGTTCAGTTAGCCAGCCATTATCTGAGTCTCAGACTACTGGAAGCTGTGGTTCATGTGAACTATTAGTCCTTTGGACTAATTGTTTCCTACAGTCTTTTATTTTCTTCACTCTTTGCTCCAGACAAGGAGCGACCAAGAGTTCCATCTTTGATGGTTGCTCAGAAGCTTTTATGACCTCTATCACTACTCACCAAAGTAGTATGTAGAATACTGTCTTTGTGAACTATGTTATATCATTTGACTTAGATGTCTCCTGAGACTATGATCCTAAGCCCCCAAGCCCAGTGACTCAGTCCTTGAAGGTGTTAGGCTAGGTGTATACTTTACTATATATACCCAGATACATTTGCAACACATACAGACACATAAGTGGAAATATATT